TTGGGGGGCTGTCAGAGGGAATCTCCTATGGATCCCACTTCTGACACCAAATGTTGTAGAGGAAACACCACACATCTGTTTAGGTTTAAAAACAAAGAGTTTTATTATGGCAAAGAAAGTGTCTGCAAAACAGGGAGACACAGTGGTGGGAGAAATCCAACAACGGGTTCTGAAGGGGCTACAGTAATAGAAAGACTTATAAAGAAAAAAACTACTAGCAGCAGATTACAGCTCAAACTATTTTTTTTATTTTTTATTTTTTCCCATACAAAAATTTATACATACTTTGTTATGTAAGTCTGATTGCTCTCCCCATACTGTGACAGCACACTCCTCCTTTCCACCCGATTCCTCATGTCCATTCAACCAGCTCCTAACCCTATCTGCCTTTCCATCTCACCTCTGCACAGAAGCTGCCTGTTTAGTCTCTTGTATCTACTCGACCTAAGAGGCACACTCCTCACGAGTATCACTTTATGTCTCACAGTCCAGTCCAATCCCTGTCCAAAGAGTTGGCCTTGGAAATTGTTTTAGTTCTGGGCTGATAGAGAAACCAGGGGCCATGCTTTCCAGGGTTCCTCCAGACTCAGTCACACCATTAAGTCTGGTCTTCTTACTAGAATTTGAGTTCCGCACCCCACCTTTCTCCTGCTCCATCCAGGACTCTCTGTTGTGCTCCCTGTCAGGGTGATCATTGGTGGTAGCCGGGCACCAGCTAGTTCGTCTGGTCTCAGGTTGATGAAGTCTCTGGTTTACATGGCCCTTTCTGTCTCTTGGGCTAATAGTTTCCTTGTGTCTTTGGTATTCTTCATTCTGCTTTACTCCAGGTAGTTGGGACCAATCAGTGTATCTCAGACAGCCGCTTGCAAGCTTTTAAGACCCCAGACGCCACTCACCAAAGTAGGATGCAGAACACTTTCTTAAAAAGCTTTGTTATGCCAATTGACCTAGATGTCCCCTGAAAGCATGGTCCCCAGACCCCTAGCCCTGCTACTCTGTCCCTCAGAGTGTTTGATTGTAAGATTATAGCTGAAACTATTTTGATTGGTTAACACACACAAAGCTGTAGGTGGCAATACCTTGTTTGACCATCCTGGCAGGTGGTGACATCTTTTGCAAGGATGACTCTAGGTGATACATAAAAACCATAACTTTGTAACATTAGTTTATTCTAATTATGAGTTTTAAGGGGAGTTTAGCCTGAACAAGGTTATAAAAACATACAAGGCTTCATAAGGACTAGGCACAGGCTAGAAAAGCATTTTTAAGGGAGGGCGAAAGGGGCATTTTCTGAAAACTGGCATAGTAGTTAGAGTCGCATGTTTCACACTTTTTTTTAAATTATACTTTAGATGAAGGTTACAGAACAAGTAGTTTCTCATTAAACAGTACACATATTGTTTTATGACATTTGTTAACAACCCCACAACATGTCAACACTGTCCCTTCTCGACTTTGGGTTCCCTCTTACCAGCTTTCCTGTCCCCTCCTGCCTTCTAGTCCTTGTCCCTGGGCTGTTGTGCCCCATTAGTCTTGTTTTGCTTTATGGGGCTGTCTAATCTTTGGCTGAAGGGTGAACCTCGGGAGTGACTTCATTACTGAGCTAAAAGCGTGTCTGGGGGCCATACTCTCGGGGTTTCTCCAGCCTCTGTCAGACCAGTAAGTCTGGTCTTTTTTTGTGAGTTAGAATTTTGCTCTATATTTTTCTCTAGCTTTGTCCAGGACCCTCTATTGTGATCCCTGTCAGAGCAGTTGGTGGTGGTAGCCGGGCATCATCTAGTTGTACTGGACTCAGTCTGGTGGAGGCTGTGGTAGTTCTGGTCCATTAGTCCTTTGGACTACTCTTTCCCTTGTATCTTTTCTTAATTCTCCCTTGCTCCTGCAGGGGTGAGACCAGTGGAGTATCTTAGATGGCTGCTCATAGGCTTCTAAGACCCCAGACTCTACTTACCAAGGTAGAATGTAGACCATTTTCTTTATAAACTATGTTATGCCAATTGAGCTAGATGTTCTCCAAGACCATGGTCCCCACAGCCCTCTGCCCAGCAATTCGGTCCCTCAGGGAGTTTGGATGTGTCTATGGAGTTTCCATGACCTTTCCTTGTATAAGCTGTGCTCGCTTCTCCAGTATTGTGTACTGTCTTGCCCTTCACCAAAGTAATCACTTGTCTCCTGTCTACTTAGTATTCCCCCACCCCCACCCCTCCCATCCCTTGTAACCATCAAAGATTGTTTCTTTTTGTGTGTAAACCTTTTCATGAGTTTTTACAGTAGTGGTCTCATACAATATTTGTCCATTTGTGATTGACTTATTTCACTCAGCATAATGTCCTCCAGTTTCATCCATGTTATGAGATGCTTCGCAGATTCATCATTGTTCTTTATTGTTGCATAATACTCCATTGACATGTTTCACGCTTCTGTTTAACACATATAGATCTTGATTTTTTTTTTCTTTAACATTGGCCATTTCTAACCGCAAGCACTTCCTCTAGCAGAGTAGGGAGGCAAAAATGACAAGCTGCATTATATGACAGAGACTTACACTTAGAAATCTTAAGATGAAGTTGCTTTGGATAAGAAACAATTGTGTTCAGACCCTAGCTAGGAATCTCAGTCACTCCAAGGGTTTTAGCTTTGGAAGGCCCTTCATCAAGCACAAAAATCATTTTCTTACGAGAACTAACCACCACCAACCCCATAGCTGGGAAAGAATTCAGGAGCAGCTACTTCACCGGACCTTCACTAGACCTAGCAGGGAATTGTCTTCCGCCATTAACCACGAAGCTGAGGTAGAATTTTAAAACTACGTTGGCCCTAGTGACAGTAACATTCCAATTTGGAAACTTAAGGCTGGCTATTTCCATGCTTGTCGCACACTTAACAGTTATCTCCTCCTCCTCCCTTTTCATTCCTTCCCTGACAGTATTTGTACCCATATTTGCCTCTCCTGAGGCAAGACATTCTGCACAGTCAAAATAGCTGCAGAATAAGTGTAAAGTTACTAATATTATTACAAGTAAAATATTTTCCTCACCCCTTCTTTCATCCTTAATCCCTTTATGAGAAACTTTTTCTACTTTAACTCTGAATTGTTAAAATGTTTTTACAAATATATTGCTTTTATAACCCCATGTGCAATTACTCAACATTTGGATTTTTTAATAATTTGAGAAAACAAAGTGTTCTGTTCTGTTGTATTTACATCTACTAGCAGCTGCTAACCAAACGGTCGGCAGTTCGAATTCACTAAGTGCTCCTTGGAAACTCTATGGGGCAGTTCTACCCTGTCATGTAGGGTCGCTATGAGTTGGAATCGACTCAATGGCAACAGGCAATGGGTTTAGTGTTGTCCTGCCAAGTGGTCATTATAAAGGAGTTTGATGACAGTAGATATAATGTATGTACACTGCTGAAGGACCTGTTAGATATGTTAACTATTTCTGATGCAGTCTGCAGCTGGAATATGGGGTAGGATTATAGCCTAAAGAGAGGCTCCATTCCCACATTTCTTCCTGCCCAACATAGACCAAATAAGATTAGTATAGTCAGGAAGCGTCAAAAACGTGGAAGTGGCCATCCATTCAATTTAAAGTAGAAAACAAAATACGGTCCATTTCCCAGTGCCCAAATCTATTTGCTATTTATAAGTATTATGGGCATTGTCACTGTAAAGGAGAAATCAGAGAACGTGAGAGGCAGGCGAGGAACAGACAGATTTCTCCAGGATACATGGTTCTTCCTAAGACCAACCACTGTGGCGTCCTCATGGCTCTTGGTCTTACATGGTTTGCTCACCAGATGGTGCTTAACTCTCACCCTAGCCCTGACCTCCATGTGGTGGGGTCAGGGATAGGGTGCAGGTGGTGTCCAGCACATCACTTAGAAGTAAAACTATTGAAAGCTTAATGGTGTTTGAGGCAGCATTGAAGTACGCATGGTTTCAAAAGGGCTGCATCAAATATGTAACCACAAAATTGTTTCATTAAGACATTGTGGACCCATTTATCTCCCCTACACCTGAGAACAGAGGACTTATCTTTGTTGTGTTCCAGCCTGCTCCTCTGCTCCTCCATGCCCTGAGTTCCTAGTGCCAGCTGTATACATCGCTGGTGCTTATTATTGCTTGTTTCACTGTTGCCGTATTCAATAATGCCAACTCGATAGTGGGAAGCACCTCTAGTGAATTAACCCTTTAGTGCCTAGCGGTGCATATAGGGACCACGAACTTTTTCAGCCTGTGTGGTTTATTGGGAAGCTGCCATGCCATTGACAGTGCATGCTGCTGCAAGGCAGGGGTCTTTATGCTGTTTGAAACTGAAAAAACAGGTGTGTGCCACAAATTACTGTTTTTATAGGGATTGTACAAGGTGTCTGAATTTTTGGTAGGAAACATAGAAATTTTGAAAATTTTTATTTGTTACACATACATACCAGTAGACCCCACTGGGGACTCTGGGGTAGAATTAATGGTACATCTTATGTACCAAGGGACACTAAGGGTAGGCTTGTGGGAGGGGGCAAGAAAAAAAAATCCATACTGCCTATCAAAAAGTCAACAACACTGAATTATTCAGCATGCTTCCATTAATGAAAACATATGGTATCAACAAAAAATTTAAAGCAGAAAATAATTGGGTCACCAACGGGTTAAGTGGGATGAGAAGAGGGGTGAGATGGGGCAGTTGGAGGAACAGGGCAGGAATCAAGAATAAAACAAAACTAACGCATTTTGAGCATAGAATTCTCAGAACACAAGGCTCAAATGAAACAGGTCAATGAGTGACCACAAGAATAAGTATTTTTCTAGCAAAAAATGCCCCCTGTTCATCGTGCAGAAATGAATTAAGTGTACTGATGAGACTCTTGTTGTTAACTCCAAATTCTTGTGGTTTTCACATGAATGGGACACAAAATGAACATGAGGTCACTGAAACACACTCTTAAAACATCGATATACATGGCATACGACACCTTCACTTAGGTTAGTGATTGGCACTTAGAGAATTATGTTGATATATATTATCAACAAACACATATCAAACTTCAGAGAGATAGAAAATCATTACAATAAAAAACCAAATAGAACAACGGTAAGCAAGGCCCAAATGGAACCCAGTAACTGAGATGCCTTTCCCCTTAAAATAGGAGAATATTTTCCTTTCTGCATTAATCAATCACTGTAATCAATAACATTGTGCTAAGTGCAAGGATCATCCAGGAAATCACACAATCTTCTATTTGGCTGCCTGCAGAGATCTAGGGTATGGCAAGCTCCGTGGTAACAAGTTATTCGTTTAGAGGAAGATGCTCTTTATATTAAATGTACCTTCCAGCCATGCCTAAGCAACACCCAGCCCTCGCGTTCTAGTGCACACGCTCCTTATTTGGCATCATTTGGGGGCTTTCTGACCAGATCCAATTGGTGACTATATTCAGTAACATTTATGGCTGAGCTTTGGGCCAACGATGCAGCAATGCGTTTTTGTCATTAGTTGTGCTCATTTTATTATTTACTAGGTTTTCCAACAACAGAACTTAAAACAGAAGGGGGGTTGTCTGAGGTAGTAAGTCCCTTAACTAGAGACGCTCAAGGTTGTATGCACGTCGGCTTCTCAGGAGGCAGCACCCTATAAAGTAAAGAGTAAGGGCTTTGGAATTATTAAGATTTGACTCCTGGCTCTGCCACCCAACTGCGTAACACCTCTGAGCCTCTATTTTCTTGTCTGAAAATGGGGATAGTGTATTTACCTGGCTAAGAATGTTCTGAGAATTAGAGGTAACATATGTAAAGCACCTATCACACACTACCTGAATACAAGAGATGAATAATAAATGAAAACAATTACTATGAATGGGTAGAGAGTTGTACTGACTTACTTTAAGGATTAACTGATACTCCTAAGAGTCTTAGGATTCTAAGTTCTAACCTCCTAAAGGCGTAGCATATGGAGAAAAACTCCAACCACAAATATGTGCTGAGTGCCTACTATGTGCAAAGCACTATGTTTCAAGGACATTTTTCAATAAAAAATGGGAAGCAGGAACTCAGGAGTCTACCTTATATGTTTGTATAGCTGTTTCTAAATTTAAATAAATGGAAGTTACCCAAAAGGCCCTACCAAAAACAAACAGCCTGTAACAAAACAGTCTCCTCTCCAAAGGGTAACTCTGAATGAGGGTGATTGTAACTTGTAAATATGAGGCCTTTGTAGAAAGACCACAGATGCTCCAGCCAGGAAACAGGAAAGGCAGAACCGGGAGGCAGAACCCCAGAGTGGAGACCACCAACCAAGCTCAGGGAAGTCGCGGGAGGGGCTGAAGGCCCAGGTGCTAGGGCAGGTCTGGTCAGAGCTGATAGATGGTGACACCCCAACACCCTTCCCAAAGACCTCAGAGGCAGAAAGGGGAAGTCCACCCTGTACCTGGGAAAGGGGATGGAAGCAGGATGGACAAATAAGAGCAATGGTCTATACAGCAGAAGTCAACCCACAGTTTTGATCACACGACCTTAGCAGTGTTTTCATCCCTCCCACACCCCCCACATATATTTACAAACGACCTCCGTATACTACATATTAAGTATATTGTAAAAGCTACACAACGTATAGACATTTAAAAAGACGAGCTCTAGTTAAACAGAAGTTGTAATATTGTATTCTTCACCCTAATAACTATGTTATTCTTCTTGTGCACCCCACTTTGGAGACCACTGGTAGAGAATAGATGGCCTTGCTGGGAGGGAAGGGAGTGTGGAGCTGTCACCTCTTGGGTAGAGCCAGGCAGAATCATCCTCTGTAAGTCTTCAAAAGAGAACCCTGTCACGGAGTAAGGAACAGGCAGGAAGAGTGTCAGATAAGCATTCACATCTCCCACGGCTCCCTCTCCAGCTTCTAGCCCTCTCCTGGCTTTTGAATGGCACAATTTTGCCCCAGAGATTGCCACAGTTACAGCTGACGCCGCTGCTGTGAGGCTTTTCCACCATTAGGAAGCTCCAACCCTGCTCTTTGGCAGTGACCATATCTGACCTGGGAGAGTCTGGCTGATAACATGACGGCTATTTTCAATTTGACAAAAAGGGAAGCACTCTGCTTAGACTGTGTACTCTGAGGATACTGGACTTTACAGACTTCTTTATACAGAGTCTTGGGTGCAGTGAAGCACTAGGCCCATAGTGTGTTTTTGTTTGGTTGATTGGGTGATTTTTTGCTTTCGTATTTGTTTTTTGGCAAAAAAAAAAAAATAAAACAGAGACTAGGAAAAAAATTATTTCTTCCCAAAACAGATGTACTATTAGCAAATATCATGGCATATTCTTCTGCAGGTTTTACAGCCAGCCAGTTGTCCCTATTAGAAAATACAAAATTTGCTGTGGCAGCTAGATGGTGCCCGGCTACCACCACCGACTGCTCTGACAGGGATCACAATAGAGGGTCCTGGACAGAGCTAAAGAAAAATGTAGAACAAAATTCTAATTCACAAAAAAAGACCAGACTTACTGGTCCGACAGAAGCTGGAAAAACCCCGAGAGTATGGCCCCCAGACATCCTTTTAACTCAGTACTGAAGTCACTCCTGAGGTTCACCCTTCAGCCAAAGATTAAACAGGCCCATATAACAAAACGAGACTAAATGGGCACACCAGCCCAGGGGCAAGGACTAGAAGGCAGGAGGGGAGAGGAAAGTTGGTAATCGGGAACCCAACGTCGAGAATGGGAGAGTGTTGACATGTCATGGGGCTGGCAACCAATGTCACAAAACAACATGTGTATTAATTGTTTAATGAGAAACTAATCTGCTCTGTAAACCTTCATCAGAAGTACAATAAAAAAAAAATAGATTTGAAAAAATTAATTTGCTGTGCGGCTTTAATATATACTTCATTTTACTACTGTAGTGAGAAACACAGTTAAACCTATAGTTGGTCTACGAGAACATCACCAAAGCAAATCAGATTGGAAAAAGCCACATGTGTGGTCTTGGATGGGCGGGCTTCCATTTGGATAGAACTAGCTGGTTTCTGCCTCTCAGCGCTGGCCCTGGCTTTCCAGTGTAATACCAGGTGATCCTTCTCTGCGAAGAACTTTGTCGTCGGTCCTGGTTACCTTAGAGATGCCTTATCTCCCAGTGCACCTTCCGGGCAATGGCAGCCAGCCCACTGCTTCTACTTAGCCAAGCCCTGTGGATATGAGCCTGGTTCTCACTGACAAGAGGTACTTACTTCAGTTTTACTGAAGCTGAAAACAAACTACAAAATCCAGCCTGTGCAGGAGTAGGGGAACACATTTTTTATATCTCAATAAAAATTTAAGAATGAACCCTGTAGATTGGTAGTAATTAGGGAAAGTCATATTGTTTTATTTTATAACTTAGATCAGTTTCCTGGTTTCCTTAAGTCTTTTTGACTTGGCCTTTTCAAGGTGCAAGCAGGGACAGCTGTCTGGGCTTGGCACCACAGAACTTTTGTGACCACCACTCCATGGCATCTGTTGCTTTTATGTCTCACGGCAGGGGGAAGGGAATGAATGAGAAAGGCAGAAATCAAAGAGACATACTGAATTATAAGAATGTTATGACAGGTATTTTGACTTTACAAAATACTGTTTTCTTTTAAAAAAAAAAACACTATTTTATTACAGTCAATCTCACCACTTAGTAGTAAAGGTAAATATAATTTCAGCTAACTAGAGTTTTTGCACATTTATTTACAGTCAATTCCATTATTTTGTTTGAAGGGAACTTTCTATTTTATTTTCCCCAATTATGCAAGTGAGCAGATTATGCAATTAAGAGGCTGGTAAACATGGGAATTACTATAGGCTCAACACTTTCTAGGGGCTACTATTCAGATTGTCTGTGGAGCATTAAAGAGAATATGAAAAATTATTTCCTGGTCTGCCCGAGATTCAGGTTTATCATTCCTAGGCTTGATTTACAAATGCCTGAGTCTTAATCCCTGTTACAAATTACCATGTATCCTTAGTCCAGATGTGAAAGCAAGGTAGACTTCGCTTTAAAACAACGAGGCCATAGACAGTAGAAATACAAACCAAAAAACCGGCTAAAATATTTGTCAAGTAACTGCAACAAAACCTCATTATGGAAAATCCACTAATCTGGAATTTGCGATAGTTCAGAAAGGCACAAGGCTGAAGGGTGCTTTTGGCCTAATTGTGCAAGAATTTGCTAAGTCAGTTTCTAGTGGAAAACACATTTCAGATAGAAGGTTGAAACTGCTGAAGAGACTGTTTCTGGAACCCTTAAATAATTTTGGACATTTACAATACTGAATGTTATCCTACTTATAAAAAATTCTTATCCACTTTCATCTTGAGCCTCTACTAAGTAAATCTTCCTTTACCTATTTCAGGAGTTGCTGCAGTAATAGAGATAATCTTTCATTTTTAAGATGAAAATGGAAGTCTTTCCCTAAATCAGACTGTCCTTCCTGACCAGTTTAGCTTGAGGAAAGCAGGTAGATGGGTGTTTTGGTTTAAGTGCATGAAATCTAGACGCAGCGTCACGAGGTTCAAACTCCGCTTCCATCACTTGGGCATCGCATTTATGGTTATGGTGCCTCCATTTCCTCCTCTATAAAAATGGGAAAAATAATAATACCCGAAAGTGTTTTGATCCTATAATAATTCCCCAAACCTAAAAAGCACTTGGAACAGTGCCTGGCCCCTTAAACATTAGCTCATGTTATCATGGTACTGGAGCCCTGGTGGCGAAGTGCTTAAGAGCTCAGGCTGCTAATCAAAAGGTTGGCAGTTCAAATCCACCAGCCGCTCCTTGGAAACCCTACAGGGCAGTACTACTCTGTCCTACAGGGTCACTACGAGTTGGAATTGACTGGACAGCACATAATAATCCTGGCACTATTTTGGAGGTCAGTGATGGAAATTAGCCTCAGTCATACCCCCAGGGCTCCCCGGTGAAAAACTTCTTTGCAATGGTGAACATTTCAGAGCGTAGTTTTTTTAGACCCTGTTCCACGAGGTTCAAGGGCATATTTTCACACAGCAGTGCATCGCACTCCTTTCTCCTGACCTCTAGCCACACCAATTTAGCCTGCCAGGTACTTCTGGTTCATTATACATAAACTTTACCAAGCTACCCGCTCCCTGTCCCTACGAACTGGTCTTCACGCTCTTCTCAGGTTATGCCAGGATGCACCCTCTTCCTGGAGTCCTCCCTCAGTATTAACGCCCACCACTAGGATCAGCCCTTGACTCGTGCACAGCTCTGGTTGGCAACCCCACTTCTTACCAAATTCCTCGGATCATCTCAGCTGTTAGAGATTTTCGGAATCGCCTGTTCACCACCTGAAATTTTTCATTAAATTGTGGAGTCTGAGCAGCCCTCCTTGAGTTGTCGGACTCTGGGCTTCAAATAAGATTCCAAGTTAAAGACACAAGAACAGCAGGATGGGTGGCGAGTTGCTGGCCCCAAGGGCGCTTGAGCGCTGCAGGAGGACAGGTAAGGACGGCTCTTTCGGACAGGACAAGGGCGAATGATAAGGAAAGATGGTGACGCACCTGAATAAATCCGCTGGACTACAGTACACAAACTAAGGTTTGACGAGCTGCTGAGAGGGAAACAAGCACACACACACAAATACACACAAGATGAGAGAGGGAGAGAGAGAAGGGGAGCAACCCCGGGTATCTGACAATGTCACGTCCCCAATCCGGACAAGGTCCCTAAACCCCCCGATTTCCGGAGTAGCTTCCCCCGCCTCCTCGCCCCCGGGAGATTACCTTGAGCGCATCTCTCGGCTTTGCCCGGCCTAGGCGCGCCGGGCGCCCGCCCCGCCCCCATCCCGCTGCTCCCCGCCCCCAGTGAATGTGGTTCCCCTGTGTCTTCTCGAACGCCGGCGTCGCTGTGGAGTTTCGAACCCGGGCGCCGACCCTCGCCCTCGACGCGCGCGGGCGAATCGCTGGCGCAGCCTTCGGCCCTCGCATCAATCATTAACGGGCCGGCTCCCGCTGCGGCCCGAGGAGGGGGATGGTACGGAACTCGAGACCCGGGACAACTCTATCCCCCTAGGCGGCCGCGAAACCCTAGCCGGGAAGGCCCTTGCCCTCCCTCGGTGCGTCCGGCCCTCCCTCCAGCGCCTCCGCTCGCGCATCCCCGCCTCCCGCGCCGGGGGCGGCGGCGGAGGCGCCCGCACCGCGCGATGCCCAGTCACCGCCGCTT